TTGATTTTCTGAAAGAAATGAAAATATTTTCCAGCAAATTTACTGTAATATCAAAAAAAGGAACAAACACGACTATACAAATGAGATTCATTGAGGGGTGGCAGATAACAACTTCGGCATTTCTGCAACTGAGGGAAAACCTACATAGTTAAGGACACTTCTACATATTGACGAGGAATATAAATCAGGACTCTGTGGAAAATTATTTTGGTCAACTGAGAAATACTTGTGGAAATGCCAGAAACCCACCTCCTATTCAAGTTACCAGAGCTTTCAAAAAATCATTTACTCTTCAGTGTTTCACATAGGCAGAAGGAAGCAACTGTCTAGAAGATACTAGTGAGATTCTATCTAATATTATAGATGCTGACATAAATAGATTGAAGATTCTTGGGGAAGTTCCAAAAAATCCCCATAAACCTTTTAGAGTAGAGAAAAATGATTATAGAACTCCAGCCACTCCCGAAGGCAATAGTTTGGGCTATGTTTGTGGATATCTGGCTTAAGTTTGACGATAGTCGTGTCGCGAAATGTTCTGGCGATGTATTGAATTCATTGGAGCCTCTGGAGACAACCTACATTTTGTTTCATGAGAGAGAGGAGAGGACATTGGCGGATCAAAATCTTCAGATGATGCGGTGCTGCAGGTTTTTCCGGGTTTTCTTGCAGCTGAAAAAGCAAATACACCACTGGAATCAGTGAAATCGCCCCGGAGCGCAGCTGAAAAAGCAAATACACCACTGGAATCAATGAAATCGCCCCGGAGCGCCAAATAATGTTTATTGTTGTTTTATAATTTCACAAATAAAGGTTCTTGGAATATATACATGCCTTCAGAATATTCATGGAATATGCTTGAATGAATATCTGTTCTGTTTAAAATCTGTTTTTCCGTTAATCAGCTGTCGTCCCCATACGAACGACAACTCTCAGAAGTTGAGAAACTTGTGCGAGCTAAGGACTAATGAGGTCTTACCTTTTAACGTGTGATTCCTAACATGGCAGGATTATTTCCGAAAGAATGTGCATAGGATGTATTCAAATGGATTATTCTCTCGTAAATCTTCTAAGAATATTGTCGACCGAATATACCATATGGTATATTTTCAGAACATATCCCCACGGTATATTTTGGAATATTCTATACGGTGTATTACTGAAACTTTGAATTATCTTATAATAACGTATTCAAATAATTCAATATCATTAAAAACAAAAATATTTGAAGATTTTAATTGAAAGCATAACCTAATGTATATAACCCTAATAGTGTTAACCAGTTTTTCAACTCAACGCGAAGATTCTGATTGATTGTATGTGTGTAATGTGTGTGTATGTGTGTATTGGTGTTATTATCAAAGTCATTCTCTCATGTTTAGTGTACCATTTATAGTTTGAGGTTATCCAATTTGCAGTACAGCGAATAGTTTGATTTTGCATCTTCAAACAGTAGAGTTACAACCTATTCAGTCTTTAAGAAAAGTAAGTAAAAGGCAATAGTATCGATAATAAAGTCATGGTGCTTAGCCTACTATACCTCATTTTAGGACTGAGGAGAGTTGATGTGTGGGATTTGTTGGTTTGACTAAGTACACATTTAAACTGTGATTTCAGTTGTGTATCTTCAGTAGAGAAAAGTAAGTGAATGACACATTCTTTTGTATCATTTGTTCATAATTTTTATCACACACACTTTTTCAAGATAATATCAATATGCCCAAAAGGAAACGGTGTGGTACCTGGTACAGGCAGGTGCGTCAAGAAACTGAAAACGTCATGAGTACTTTTCAACAAGTTGCTCTCCAAGTCATAAAACGTTGTAAATGTTCATGAGGAACCGATGAGAAAAAGATCTATTTGATTTTTAATTCAATTTTATTGTGTCACTTTCAAATAGTGATAATGAATGTTAATGTACATTTTGTTCCAGGTATCAATAGTGAAAGACTGGCTAATGCATTGTTGGACAAATATCAGGATAACTCTTCTGGTGAGCAATGTTTGGATAACTTTAAGTAAGTGAAATTGAATAAAGGACCCATCATACCACTCATTTAAAATACTTCATTTGAGGGTTTATTTTTTAAAGTGAGAAATCTATATCTATAAATAATCTATATCTATAATAATTAATATTCCGGAGAGGTGCAGTATGACATGCTCCGGGTTGACCCTTTCCTCTCATACAGACCTACGACTTTGTAGGTACGTGTGGCAGATACCCAACGGAAAAACAAACAACCCACCCAGATAATGCCGCGCAGATAGTTGAAGTAAAACCATCAGGCACCTGTGCAACGTCTTCGATTTGGAAGATTCGTCGCATGAAAAGCAGACATTAATTTCGTTTGGTCGATCCGACCCATCATCAGTACCGGGCATAGTCTCTTCAGAACGGTGTGAACCGTCTGAGTATCACTAAATTAATTTTTGCTTTTCATAGTAGGAAACAATTTGCGACGAATCTTCCAAATCGAAGACGTTGCACAGGTGCCTGATGGTTTTACTTTCTGCGCGGTATTAGCTGGGAGGGTTGTTTGTTTTTCCGTTGGGTATCTGCCACACGTACCTACAAAGTCGTATGTCTGTATGGTACTAGGTGTATTTTGTTGATATCAGTCTTATTTTACATTGGCTCAAAAGTTATTGACTCAAAAGTTATTCGCTGTCCTTCTCAATCAAAAAACATCGAGCAGAGAATAACTTCTGTCGAAAATAGCCGAATCTAAAATAAGATTAGTGCCAACAAAAACATCTATCAGAGGTTGAAAATGACAATATGTAAAACAACTGTAATTCTGGTACAAGTAATCGAGAATAGCTTTATGTTAATGTTTGAGTTTTGCAATGCAAATAATGTCAAATCAATTCAAATTATGGTCAAATACACCAGAATGATGAAGCAACGATCTTTCAATTAGAAGAAGAAGAATAATTTGAATTATCTTGATGATCGATTACATATCGAGAATTATTATAATGGAACTATCGATTATTTTTTATTCGAATTAACCCCTCACTAATAGTGATGGGCATAATCGAATCAATAGTAACTGAATTGTTCAAATAGTAGTATTATTCGAATTACACTAGCAATGTGCAGTAGAATCACTTATAATACAGTAGTTGTTGAGTATATAAATGTACCTTATTAGATTGAACTGTGATTTTTACAGTAAACTAAGAACAATATTTTATTTCATTTTTATATATTGAGAATTCATTTCAAAATCGTGAATCTTGTTCATTGAGTTCTTTGTTTGAACTTGAATATTGTTTCATTCCATCAACTTTCGAAATAAATCAGTGGTGACCGTTCTCAATAGGTTTTGGTACTAGATGCATAAGGATGTCCAGAACACGTGACCAATTCTCGAACAATATGGCCGCCTGTAGGCACACAATGAGTACAGTGACATAGGTACTTCGCTGTTTTTTCGTGTTTTGTTATCTTTGGAAGCTGTGAAAATAATTATGATGGCTGTTTTTGAAAAAAGTGATTATTTACTAACATTGGAACGTGAAAACAAAGACATTGCTGTGCGTTACAAAGGTTTGACTGGCTACAAATTTTTGAAGCTGGATTTGTACATGATTGTGAATTAAAGTCAATTGGAGAGCACATTGTTGTGATTGCCAATGTATTTAAATATTTTTCAAACTTGATTTATTCATAATTTTCTCTGAATATGTATCTTAATTTCATGTCAAGCATTCACAGAGGATGAACAATCCCCCACTGCAAGTCTGGATTATATTCAAGAAAGATGGTGCAATAATTTCAGTTCATTGTACCTGCATAGCAGGCCATTCTGAAATTTGCAGTCACGTTGCTGCTGTACTGTATGGCCTGGAATATATCAACCAATTCAATATATCAACCAATTCTAGAGTGCAGGCCCAGTAAACAGTTTTTGCATGTGGCTTTCATGTAAATATTCAATGCTAAATTTTATCATATACCTATTCTTTCAAGTGTTTTTTTATTTCTTGTTAACTGAGTTTTGACTCTTCCCAAGAACATTTGTTGAATGCCTAGTTTCATTCAATGAATGATATGTATGTAAACATTTCTTTGAACTGAAAAATCATAATTGAAGTTTCCATATTGTTATGAACCACCATGTGAGAAATCACTTTTTTAAAATAACCATTATTGTGGATCATTTGTTCAATGAATGTGTATTGAAACTGACTTCCTCGTCTAAGGGGGAGAATAAACAAAACAATATGACCTTATTTTGTGCTTGATTAAATTAATGTATCTTTGAAAGTGTTTGGACAAAAAAATATTCTATATACTAACGAAACCTAGTTTCTGACCTACGTACCAATTGAATATACCAAAAATTTATTATAATTCAGCTCTATGATCTCTATCGCAATTTATATATTTTCATCATATGTCAATAACATAACCTGAATTGATGAATCAACAACTTTAATTATCAATAAAAATATATTTGTCAAAAGAAACTTATTTTGATTTCAGATACAGTTTTTGCTATAAAATTAGTAACAAAAGCCTTCAATCAACAATCAGGACCATCCGGGAACACGTCGGACTAAATCTTCTTGTATCAGCTCATGTAAATAATTTAATGTACATCTTGAAAGTCTAAAGAGATCAACAAAGAATTCCATGAGTAAAATTTTCAAAATCAATAGTGTATTAAGTGATAAAAAATAATTTACCTGGAATGACTTTTAAATTCTTCATTTGAATAATGAGTAATTACATTATCGTAATCAATAATACGTGGTCTAAATTTTCGTTTTTCACGATTATATTTCTGTAAAATTGTATTCCATTCTTCATCTGAGCTGGACGAACTAGTATTTTGTGGTCGTTGTGAGTGCTTAGTGAACGCACTATATATGTCGATGTTTAAGTTCTGCGATGCAAATAACGTCAAATTAATTCAAAATATGGTCAAATGCGCCTTTATAATGAAGCGACGATCTTATAAATAGAAAAAGAAGAAGAATAATATTTTGAAATATCTGATAGTCGATTCGATATCTCTAATTATTTTGATAATCAAATTTTCGATTATTTTTAATTCCAATTAGCCCAACAACTTAGCGAGAGAAAAACTTTTATTTTATGATAAGGTCCAAAAATATATGTAATGCAACCAAAAAAAAATGAGTAATATATACATTTTAGAACCTCCAACATCGGGAAAGGTATATAAATTTCAAAACAAATCTTGATTATGAGGATGGTTTTCATTTCAGGTTTTACTAAAGACAACAGTTGGCGATATAGACATAGAGCTTTGGACGAAAGAAACTCCAAAAGCATGCCGAAACTTCATTCAACTATGTCTAGAAGGTTACTACAACAACACAATCTTCCACAGGGTCGTTAAAGGCTTCATTGCCCAAGGAGGAGACCCCAACGGAGACGGAACAGGAGGAGAGTCAGTTTATGGAGAACCTTTCAAAGATGAGTTCCATCAGAGGCTCAGGTTCGCAAGGAGAGGTCTCGTTGCCATGGCAAATGCTGGCAAAGACGATAATGGATCTCAGTTCTTTTTCACTCTCGGAGCCACTCCTGAGCTACAAAACAAGCACACCCTTTTTGGTAAAGTAACCGGAGAGACAATATTCAACGTACTGAAATTAGAGGAGGGCTTGATCGAAGACGAGACCCCAGTGTACCCACATAAAATTATCAAGACTGAAGTATTGAATAATCCATTTCCAGACATAGAACCCAGGATTAAAGTTACGGAAGTGAAAGAGAAAAAAAAGAGAGAAAAAAGTTCAGGAGTAAAGTGAGTTTCTTTTAAATCTTATTATTATTCTTCTTTTGTATTATTATTCTTCTCACTTGATAATTTCTTCATTGCTACTATGAAACCTATGCATTTTGTTTTTCACTCGACTTCAAGCATATTTGTTAATTGTAAGTTGTTTAGTAATTTTCCTGTTATATTATTATAGTTAATTTTTATAAGCAGCAGAGTTATAAATCATTTTAAAGTGGCTATTACATAGGCGTACATAACTGAGTCGGTTAAAAAGTGAAAAATGTATTCATTTCAAACATTCAATTTTGTTATATGATTCGATAAAACAAACCTCAGACAAATTTTTGAATTTGTATGAATCAGCGAGTAACAAAAATATGGAACACTCGCATTAATAATTATTAGATTTTTTTTATTCAACACCCAAAATTGTTCATACTTTTGAATTCATATCAAAATTTTCAATATTATTATTAAAATCATACAATAAAATATATTGATTAGTTTTTAATATGGATTTTCATCAAGTATCGGCCATTTCTATTTAAAGATTGAGATATGTTAATCTAAATGACCCGTTGAACAAAAAAAACTTCACTTTAGAGTTTTTCAGGCTCTGATGGGTTGGAAATGGGGTGAAAACTTTAAAAAATCGTATAATTGAAAATTGGATGTGTGCATCTACAAGATTAAGATATGTTATTTCTGATGACCAAAATGAACTTCACGTCGTAGTTTTCCAGCCCGTCTGAGGGGGTGAAAATAGGGCGAAAACTTTTAAAAATCGTATCATCAAAAATTGGATGTGTACACCTACAAGATTGAGATATGTTATTGCTGATAACTGATTCGACAAAATGAACTTCACGTCATAGTTTTTGAGGCAGTCTGAGGGTGTGGAAATGGGATGGAGAATTTAAGATATAGTATCATCGAAAATTGAAAGCGTTTAGGACCTGTTTTTCTGCAGGCGCTGGGCTTTGAAGTAGGAATACCGCTTGCTACTTTCCATTGACGTCTATATGCCGCTGTTTCTGTCTCATTCTTTCCGTGTATCGTTTCGCTTCCTCAATTTGCGTTCTTTGATAAATGAAATGTAACAGTCTTCGGCCTTACTCGGAAAATCGCGAAAATTCTAAATTTTCGTTTTCCTCGATTTCATATAGAACTCAGCATCCTAAGACAAAAAGTCTTATGCCGCGTCTCGATATTCCTATTTCTTCTTGCAAAAAAATGCGTTTGAAAAATGTAATGTTTTTTCAAAACTCGAATCTATTTTTCCGTTAATTAGCTGCCGCCCCCATACGAACGACAACTCTCAGAAGTTGAGAAACTTGTGCGAGCTAAGGACTAACGAGGTCTTACCTTTTAACGTGTGATTCCTAATAAAAATTGAACCACGAGCACTAGAAACGTGATCGAGGTGTCAAACGATAGCTACTAAGAATTTCTATATATACTTCTTTGAAGAAAGCACGATTTCCCTATCTAGATAGCTGAAAAAGCCATTTTCCATAAAATCAGCTTTTTCCCTATTCAAAAATTTGGCGAAGGCTACTACTAATCTTACAAAAGATTTTTCTATCGCTTAGGAAACGACATTTCATATCTTAATTTTCAAAACTAAGCTGAAATATCTTGGGAAAACCTAAGTTTTTCCACGTTTTCTCAATATTCATTCTGAGTGGGCGGGCCTTGTACTGGAGAGCTCGTGAAATTCCAAACTAGTTTTGTTTCACGACAATATGTTTGTAGTATATTCACCCAAGTGGGGAACAACGTGACAACACCGCATGTAAATAGGATGTTAAGAAATAGGGGAGTGGATGTTAAGTTGCCTTTGAGGAATACGCAAATAAACCATTCAAAGGAGTGTTAGTTTTTTTCGCTCAACTTCCTCAATTCCAAGACACCACAATGTTGGTCCAGAATATCCAATGAATTGCGGTTGTCCTAGCATACTGAACCATAAACAATGTGTGGGTTTCCCTTTGTGTAAAAAAAGTAAATAACTACTGCTGACGTAATCACCATCTATCCTCCCATAATAAGCAAATACCTCCCGCCTCCCTGTAGTGCTTACGTAACACTTGAATGGCCTTAAAGTAAACGCCATCTATGAGATCGACAAAAGAAATAATGCACCATTAATGAAAACTTGGTGAGTCGAAACAGCGGTGTTTGAGGTTGAATCATAAGCTTTTGATCTCTGGTTTCATCTGGTAGACTTGCAATGAAAAACAGAGGACGAATCTCGTTCGGCAGTCGATGTGAAAGTATGGTTTTGCAACGGACCTCTATGTTTTTTCAGCTAATCTTGTTAATTTTTTTACAGATTTTTTCAAGGATTTCAAATCAATTTATATCATATTAGACAATGGAAGCCAGAACTGATAAAATTATTTTATTTTTTTTATTCATTCACAGGTTCAAAACCAATTTTACTCAATACAATAAAAAAATACAAAATAAATGAAAGGTGATACAATTATACAAGAATACACAATAATCGAAATATATATATTCGAAAGTTTTGTCCGTTTTAATGTCATATATTTTTGTAGCTTCATATCTCAATATTCTTTCTACTATGTTCGGGTATATACTGATCGATAGACAATTTTGTGCTCTATACTTTGATGCTGTTCATTTTTTCCAAAGTTCAATTTTGCCTCTTCAGCGTATTACTACATGCCGTCCAGGACAAGTATTTGAGGAACATTGTAGAGGCTGACCCATCACCAAGGTGCGCGGGATGGCGGAAGAACTGTACGTCAACTTCCATGCGGTTTTTGATGGTTTAAAATGTATTGAAAAGGTCAACAATTCGAAAAGTGGGTGCCACACGACACGACAGAAATTGTCACGTTTGCTTTTGTGCAACTAAAACTATCCTTTTTTGGATCGAATCGTCACATGTAAGGAAAAGTGGATCCTCTATGATAACAGGATAAGATAACCAAGGGAAAGTTTCTTTGTGCAATTATTATTTATTTTTTGTAAATTACTTACATATACCTGTTTCCATATAATTATCACCTTGAAGATTAAAATTAATTTCGCTAAAAAAAAATAACAGGAGACGTTCAGGACAGTGGTTGGACACTGATGAGCCATCCAGATATTACCCAATGGCGAAAACTCACCAAAAAATTACCATGGTTACTGTATGGTGGTCAGCGGCTGGTGTGATTCACTATAACTGTCTTTAACTGGGCCAAATCATCACAGCAGAGTCCTTTTGTGAGGAAATTGACTAAATGTACCGAAAATTGCGTAGGCAGCAACTGCCACTGGTCAACAGAAGAGGTCCGATCCTGCTTCACGACAACGTAACTTCATCACCTTCGCCAATGAGTACCAGGAAAAACGACCTTCGTCGACTTCATCGAATCCCGAGCACGCAGTTTTTATGCTCACTGAATTGATCGATTTGTGTTACGTTGTCAGAAGTGCACTGTGAAACAACGTTATCACTGAATTGATTTTTCCATCAAAAAAAAGTTTGCAGAAAACATATTCCACCCCAAATTCAACTACCTATGAAACCCGCATGCAGAAGTAGAGAAATCAAAGTCTGTTGTATTTACCACTCTTGTAGTCCGTTGTACAAATGATTAGTTTTTCAATGTGGTTGAGAAAATGGAGACTAAAAGTTTGAATCTGGATAGCAATGAGGATAGTGAAAAATTCCATTGATAATATTGGTCTTTATCGTCCCTTCTGTTACAGTGCAGCTCTCGGGTGTAATTCTGGTTTGAAAGCAACCAATCTTAGGAATTTTCTCTGAGCTTATTTTAACTCGAGTTATATACAAAGGGATAATTTTGTACCCAAGATAGGAGAGTTTTAGGTGTTTAGTAATAAAAAATTGTCGCGAATGAATGTAGTGTCTGGTAATATGTATCACATAAGTGATACAAATTCATAAAAAATATAGCACCTTCTTGCCTACAATTTATATCGGTGATGCCTGTTACACTTTTTACTTCGATTAGTGAAAGTAACATTCTTAAAAAAGGATGCCGAATACTGATGACAAATATTCCTGACACCATTAGGAGCACCACCAACATACCAGGTTTCTCTGACAGGGACACTCAAAGCAGTTTTTCTAATTTTCTACCAAACTCGTACTCTACTGCAGTCCGAAACTTCAAATTTCCTTCCAGAGAGTGAGCCATACTTCTCAATTCTATCGTGGAAGTTAATATCCAGAAATACATCATTGCCGTCGGAACCAATGTTCAGCCTGAGGACATAATTGTCTCGTCTAGAATTTCCAATAAAAAGTCTGCATATACCTTTCCAATCTTGCAGTCGTAGATACTTTCCTCCAACAAGGTGGTGAAATGGATGTGAACCAACAACACCTGAAAGCTCGGAGACTAATAATCCTCGCAACTCGTCCGATCTTATCGAATGTATGCCCCCTCAATCCCTAACACCGTAATTGAAGGTAGCTTTGAACTCTATACCGTAACTTTCTATCTGAAAACCAGTTAACCTGCTTCAAAAGTAAGAAAGACGGTCGCATAGCCACCCTCTGCACTGAATCAACTAACCAGATGCATGCCTCTACTACCACAGAGGATCAAATAGTGAATGAACAAACCAGTAAAGATACGCCCGAAGAAGCCATTGTATGACGAAACACGTGTTGCGTTTTTGTAAAATTGTTTAGTGAAAATCTCACAATAAAGTGTTTTTGAACACGTTTGAACAAATCAACATGCTGACACAACTCTACAATAGCACAAAAACGACGAAGGCCGACTCCAACGCAACTGGTCAATTTATCCAACCGAACTTACGAATTCTAGAAAACACGAAAAAAGACCTATTACCTTGTTGAGACCGTGTTAATTTTTTTTCTTCTCCTTTTTTATTATCAACATCATTCATTTTTCATTAGAACATAAACGGAGTATTTTCCCACCTGGAAATGCTCCGACTTCTCATACAAGGAATACAACCACCTATACGCATCTGACTAAGTGAGAACTGCCGTCGTCACAAGAGAT